AAAAAGAGAGAGATGGCTTTTAATTACTTTATTGTTGTTATACTTGGTTCACTTAAAATTAACTAAATATTATTCCCCAAACGAGGAGCTTAATAACGGAGTTTTTTTCTTGTCAGCTGAAGCTTTAAGAAGTCGGTCGTCGATTAAAAACAAATCAGGTAACATAAAATCGAAACTCTGCCATATTTAATTTTTAGCAAACTTCCATGCAATATTTTCTCCGGTTGCTATATCCCTAAATTCTAAGACACTGCATAATGCATTCACGAGTCATCTAAATTTGGGGCAAAAATAAACTGCCTTTATTTAAATAAATTTTTTAAGCTTAGAATGCCTGGTTAATTTAATTAATTGTGGTATTAAAGCTAAATCAGACAATATTGGCTAAAGTGCCTAGTCGATTAACGAGTATGGTATAATCGCCTTTATTTCGAACAGTCCGGCTTAAGTCAATTAATTAATAAATTGTGGCTAAAATAGCCTTAATTAAACAGTTTTTTTGGCAATAAATTGCCTATATTACAAATCAATTAATCAACTTTTGGCAAACAAATTGCCTATAAAGTAAGATTAACCCTTTTTTTAGCGCAGCAACAAATCGCTTAACATCCTATTTTTTGGCAAAAAATTGCCTTGATTAATCAATCTTTTGGCTTAAAAGCCTTAAAATAATCGCAATTTTGGCGCAACTGCGCCCAATCAACATTTTTGGCAATAAATTGCCTGAATCAATCTTTTTGGCTAAGCCTATTAAATCAACTTTTGGCGACAATCGCCCAATCAACATTTTTTGGCAAACGCTAAATCTGACAATATTGGCTAAAAAAGCCTAGTTAATCAATAACTATGGTGAAATTGCCTTTATTTCGAACAAATTCGGTTTAAGTCCAATTAGTCAATAATTGTGGCTAAACAGCCTTAATTAATCACGTTTTCTTGGCAATAAATTGCCTACATTGCAAATCAATTAATCACTTTAGGCAAATAAATTGCCTATAAGTAGATTAACCATTTTTTGGCGACAATCGCCCAAATCAACATTTTTTGGCAACATTTGCCTAAATCAAATCATTTTGGCTAAAAGCCTTAAAATCAACAATTTTTGGCAACATTTGCCTAAATCAAATCATTTGGCAACAAATTGCCTAAATCAATCTTTTTGGCTAAAAGCCTTAAATCAACACTTACACTTCCTTTTGGCAACAAACGCCTCAACAAATCAATCAATTCTTTGGCAAAATGCCTAAACAAAATGCACGAAGCATGCACACACCCATGAATAAAGCATACCCATTCAAAGCCTTTTAAAAAAAGGGCCTATCGAACTACATTGACTTTGATCTTCCATTCAAACGGAAGTACGTAGGCACGTTCGGGATTTAACCCCGGGGGGCAAGTCGAGATCACTTAAACATTCCATTGGTCCAATTACCTTGCAAAGCATTCATTTTTTTGGTTAGTTCATCAACATGACATAGTCTCGGGATCCAGGGATCCACCTCGGGTTCGAAGAATTTTGTGCCCTTAAAACATGGGATAATTTAATCTAGTAATTAGGTTAATTAAAATTGGAGTCAACTTAGGGTTTTTTCCTAGTTTACCCTAAAATAAATAAACAAGGTGGCGACTCATACATTCACGTGCATTCTCCCTTTGGTCATATGCAATTATATGCTTGATGATATTCCGGGGGAGGGGTTTTCACCACTTATTAAACAAGGTGGCGACTCATACATTCACGTGCATTTCTGCCCTTTGGTCATATGCATTATATGCTTGATGATATTCGGGGGAGGGGTTCACACCTATTGCCTCTTGTTATGGGTTTTGCCTCAGTTTTAGTAATTGTGGTTTGTTGTAGATCTACTGTCTTTTATAGATCTTGGTAGAAGACTTGAGGAGCTAAGCCAGTTGTAAGAAGTGGCAAGAATGATGCTCATGGAGGCAATTATTGGGGATGCCCCTGATCTTGTAATATTTAAACAAAAACACCACAAAAGAAAACTATGTATTCATGATATGTGTGCATGATGTGCAGAACTAATTCGAAATCTTATAATGCAGCGAGCTCGCATGGGTTGCCATTTGAAGGATTGAGAGGCTCGTTCTGGTCGCGGTGTCTAGCCAAGGTAGAAACATGAAAAGCTAAGCTGTCGAGAGTATTGAGCTTGAGGAAGATCTTGATGACACTCAATGATAAGTTTAGACTTTTTTCGTCTGTACTGTATCTTTATTTCATAAGAATTTTATTTGATATAATGAATAAGGAGTTCATCTTCATTTTAAATAAGAGGCCGATTATAAATGAAATCATCGCGTTACTTTGATTGGATGTTGATCCTACTTTATTGAGCATTTCTTTGCTTGGGATTACATTAACTGACATCCCATCAAATGAACTGAGAGTAGGCATTTTGCCGTTGTTGCCTTTATAAAAGCAGGCGTAGAGCTTAGGTCTCTTCTTGCATCATGAGCAAGTGCTTTTCACCAATTGGCATTAATGATTATTGTATTATCAGGCCTTTTCCATTTATAGATCAGATGCAGAGTGATTGTGCTCCATTTCTAGTTATTCTCCTTTTGGCTCCACTAGGAGAGTCCTTTTGAAATTTTGGCACTAATCTTGGTCTGATGGCGAACCCACCCATTCTTAGGTAAATATACCCCTAGTTAATCTCGTATGCTCTAACTTTTGCCTAATCCATTCTTTCAAGTTTTCGGTTTGGCAAGTTTTTTCTTATTATTTTATTCTTTTATTTTCCCTAATTTCTGCCTAAGTTGCCCTTTCAGGTTTTCAACTTGGCGGGCTTTCTTCTTTTGTATTAGTGCTCAAATTTTTGCCTAAGTCATCCCTTCGAATTGTTGACTTAGCAAGCCCTCTTTATTTTTGTTCATTTATTATTATTTTTTCTTTTCCCCTTTTTTGATTGACTTGTGTTATATTTGCTATTCTGGGCTAATGAGAAGCTCGAGAGGGTAGGGTCTTCATTAGACCAACTGCCACAGGTTACAGCACTTTGATTGGCATTGGAGATACATATTTGAAGATCTTGTGATAGAACGACAACCATTTTTAGAGTATCACTGCTGTGAGTTATAGATGGATCCACTAATAGTGGTTTTTACTGCATGTCACTGTGTCTTCATATATGCTCTATGTGCCCCTGTGTGGATCAACAACAACCATGGCCTATTATTCGAGTTGTCTGATTTGGCAATATGGCTTGATTAGTCTACTCCATATTATACTCACTTCAAAGGAAGCTTGATTACCTAGAGATTCTTATCTCACTGTATCTCCATTTGGCAAAGTGGTATTATTGTTCCTTTTTCCTAATAGAGTTGACACTTCAGAGTAACGCTAATGGCTACATGCTGATATTAAGATTAAAGTAAGCACGAATGTCATAGCTGTACTGACTGTTTATTTTTTTGGTATGCCTAGGCAGATAGTTGCCTTATTTCTCCGTTTTTAAATTTTTTGTACTAATCAAAAGATCAACAGTAAAAAGGTGCACAAAATGTTATGCATAATGATTTTACTTGAAATGTTTGAAATATTTCCTTTTATTCCATATCAGCAATGTAAATTCACATCATTTGCATAATTAAAAAAACTTAGCACATCAAGCTTTAAAGTTAGTACAAACACAAAAGTTGAATTTAATTAATTGGGCTTTGTCATAGACGTTTCGTCTTAAATGTAAAATCTCTTCAACTTGCCTAGGTTGATCAATTTTGCATGCTCATTGCCTTTTAAATATGATAGCTTCATTGCACCTCTTGAAAACATTTTCTTGATCATGAATGGACCTTCCCAATCAAGATTGAATTTTCCTTTCGGGTCATGCATGTTCGGCCTTATCGGTTTCAGGACCAAACCTCCTACTCTCAATAGACCTTCCCAATCAAGATTGAATTTTCCTTTCGGGTCATGCATGTTCGGCCTTATCGGTTTCAGGACCAAACCTCCTACTCTCAATAGCTTAGGATTGATTTTATTTACTGAAGTGCTTAGCCATTTTCTTTTACACAATTGATCTATAAATGAAGCGTGGGGCCTCTTTCTA